TGGGTCCGGGACTCGAACCGTGGTCGACTACATGGGAGTCCAGCGGCATAGCCATTATGCTAACTACTGGTCTCCCCCTGTGATATCTTTTTAATCTTACCCATCCAGTAAGGGCACTGTATTCCATTGTTCAGATGAAGGGACTGAGGTGTCTTATAAGAAACCTGGAGAGGAGGTATCCTTATCCCCGTTTTATAGATAGGGAAACAGAGAGGCCACACAACTGGATCCCAACTCAAGTCTGCAGGCAGACTTCCCACACTGATTCCCCTTTTATTAGGCCCCAGGGCCTCCGTTTTGATACCGTCATGGCTCAAGGAAGGGTGGAGTGAGACCTGAGGAGGGGGTGGGTTGGTGGGTGGGTGGAGCCTGTTCACCCCTCCTACCCTGTCTGGTCAGTGAGACCCGCCTGGTCGAGGTGCTTGAAGGCGTGTGCAGCAAGTCAGACTTCGAGTGTCACCGCCTGCTGGAGCTGAGCGAGGAGCTGGTGGAGAGCTGGTGGTTTCACAAGTGAGTGGGCTGGGGCCCGTCCCTGGGAGCAGGTCGCAGATCGCAGATTGCAGACAGGGCCTGGTGGGAAAGCTTTGGCTTGGCCAAGAAGTAGGGGTTGCAATGTCCTGGTTTGGCTCCTTCTAAACCTAGGTCTGCTGGGGGACTAGCATTCCCACTCCGAGCCTCAGTTTGCCCCCCTGCCACGTAGGGCATTTGGCCCCCCTGCCACTTGGGAAAGGGTATTGCTCAGCTGGGCCCGAGGGTCTTGTGCTCAAGATGGACTGAATCACAGATTCGGGGGAGTGTGGTGGGGGGGAGAGCAGCACCTCTGACAGTGTCTCAGCCTCCCTTCCCCTTGCCCCAACTCTGTCCCTGCTCCTGTCTCAGGCAGCAAGAAGCCCCAGACCTCTTCCAGTGGCTCTGCTCAGATTCCCTGAAGCTCTGCTGCCCCTCTGGCACCTTCGGGCCCTCCTGCCTCCGTGAGTTTTCCAAGTGCTTCTGGGGGAATGGAAGGGGACTGCTGAGGCCTGGAATCCAGTTGTAGCCCTGCCCTTGGCCGGCTGTGTGCGCTCAGGCCACTCCGACAACGTCTCTGGACCTCAGTGCTCGCCGACCTCACATGGCTGGTGAGATGAGTGAAGGAGTGAGGAAAGGCAGAGAAAAGTGCAGGGGCCAGATCGAGTCCATGCAGCTGTGGTTATCGTCGTGCATTAGGGAGGAAATTCTGCTCCCGCCCCTTCACCTCCCATGAGCAGTCAGACTGAGTTACTTTCCTGGGCAGGGGCAGGTGCTACCCTGGGCCCTCGTTGTCACCCTCTACCCCGACACACGGTCCTGAGACAGCAGCTGAACTTACTACCAGTCCCATGCAGAAAATCTCTCCTGGAGTTGCCGAGAAAGAGTTAGCTACAAAGATAGTTGGGTTGGGACCAGCAGTTAGTGTAATGGCTGTGTCCCTGGACTCCCATGTAGGCGACTGCGGTTCACGTCCCGGACCCGGTGGCTTAAGCTCACACCGGGCGCGTGTGTGTGCGTGCCCAAGATCCCGAGAGGAGAATGAAGGAGAAGGGATTGCAGCGTGGCCACCCCCTGGGGGGTGATTTCTCGCTTTCTGTCTCTATGTCTCTCTCTGTCTTTCTGGTGAGCACACGCGCCCTATGGCAAAAACCTCCCCTCCACCAAAAAAAAGAGATGGTCAAGTCAGTCTTTATAAAAGAAAACATTTGTAAACAACCTGATTGTTCTATAGTAAGATGTTATATAGTAAATTTTATATAGTTTTATGGCAAGATATTATGTTGTTATTAAAATAAGTGTTTCTCTCCAGAAATGTTTACCAATATACAGAAAATATTCTGTGTATCAAGGTTGTACCTAAGCTCTCACCTTCTTGGTGTCTGCCCACAGCCTGTCCTGGGGGCACGGAGAGGCCCTGCGGCGGCTACGGGCAGTGTGAAGGGGAAGGGACACGAGGGGGCAGTGGGCGCTGTGACTGCCAAGCCGGCTACGGGGGAGAGGCCTGTCGCCAGTGCGGCCTGGGCTACTTTGAGGCAGAGCGCATCGCCAGCCACCTGGTATGTTCGGGTAGGTAGCCAAGGGTGTGGCACTGGGCAGGGGCAGATGGGCACCTGCCTGCCCGTCTTCACACTGCCCCATCCCACCCAGCTTGTTTTGGTGCCTGCGCCCGCTGCTCAGGACCTGAGGAATCCAACTGTCTGCAGTGCAAGAAGGGCTGGGCCCTGCACCACCTCAAGTGTGTAGGTGAGTGGGGCCCTGCCAAGGTCTGGGGAGGAGGGCAGGGGCCTGGGGCTGGCACCTCCCTCCCTGTGCGGGGCTAGACCCACATGGTCATCGTCTGCATGGAGCTCACCCTGCCTGGGAAGGTGGAAAAGTAACCAGGCACTTAATACAGACCGACCTGTGTGCAATGAGAGGTGTCCCTGGCCCAGCTCCGTGGAGGGGGCCGTAAGGACTCAGGAAAGCCTTCTTGGAGGAGGTGGCTCTTGGGCCAAGTCTTGAACATTGAGGAAGGGTTAGCTAGGAGAACGAGGATACTTAACTTGGGCTCAGAAAACCAGGGTCCAAAATTTGGTGTGGTCCCCGCCAAGCCGCTTATCTAGACGAGAGGAAAGGCTGAGCTGCTGCAACAAGAAGGCCCCCCCAGGGGCCAGCTCTATAGCCTGGTGATTAAGGCAGCCATATCCCACATGACTGGCCACTCAGTTCAAGTCCCAGACCTGGCAGCTTGAGAAACATGCTGAGTGTGTGTGCGTGTGTGCCCCAAATCCCCAAGGGAGTAGGGCGCTGGAGGACATGAGATTGCAACGTGACTGTGATCAATGGCGGGGGGTGTGGTGGGGGGGCGTTGTCTGCTCTTTTTTTCTTTCTCTGGCACTTGCATATACCCTCTAGCAAAAAAAAAAAAAAACAAAAAATCTCCAAAAGACTGGTTCTTAAAGTATATAGAGATTTACTTTTTTCTCATATCAGAGCTTCAAGGTGAGTGGCCCAGGCTGGCTGGCAGGGAAGCTCCTTCTGTCATACCTGAGTCCTCCCCTGGAGTGCTGTCAGCCTGGCTGAGGCTGAGTCACGGCACCTGTGTGTTCCGGGTCCCGGCTCTCGGGAAGGGAGGAGGGGAGGCAAGCACGTGCCGGAGTTCAAGCTCGTTGTTTTAGGGCCCGGCCCAGAGCCGAGCACAGCGCCGTGTTTATGTCCTGTTGGCCAGAGCCCAGTCACAGGGCCACCCTCAGCTGCACAGCCTGAATCCAGCCGCCCTCTGCACCTGTGCTGGTGAAGGGCTCGCAGTCTCTCCCACACCACTTAGTCCTGGGCAAGTTTGTCCCCCAGCAGCCCGGCCCCAGCTTCCCCGGGGATGACACAGGGACTGAAATCCCCACCCTGCCGCCTCTCCACAGACATCGACGAGTGTGGCACGGAGCGAGCCAGCTGTGGGGCCAACCAGTTCTGTGTGAACACAGAGGGTTCCTACGAGTGCCGAGGTCAGTGTCCGCTGCTGCACATCGCGTCCTCCAAACTTCCACCTTCTCCAGTCCAGGGGGTCCTCCTTTCCCCCCCAGCCCAGGGACAGCTCTCACCCTCTTCTCTCCTCTCCCTTCTCCAGACTGTGCCAAGGCCTGCCTGGGCTGCATGGGGGCAGGGCCAGGCCGCTGCAAGAAGTGTAGCCCTGGCTATCAGCAGGTGGGCTCCAAGTGTCTCGGTGAGTCCCTCGCCCACGGGCACAGGCACCTCAGAGTGCCTAGCCCACTGTGAACAGGGAGCTGGAAATGGGGCTTGTAGGGGGAGGGAGGGAGGCCCCTGCCTGAGCAAGGGCAGAGGAGAGGATGCGAGCAAGATGGGGTCAGGGGTGCTACGGATGGGGAACAGGCAATCAGCACTCCGAGCCCCCCTCCTCTTCCCTCCAGATGTGGACGAGTGTGAGACAGAGGTGTGTCCGGGAGAGAACGAACAGTGTGAGAACACGGAGGGAGGTTATCGCTGCATCTGTGCCGAGGGCTACAAACAGATAGAGGGCACCTGTGTGAAGGAGCAGCTCCCAGGTGAGCAGGGACGGAGAGGGCAGGCCCTGCCCCACCTCTGTGGCCATCCAGCCCCTGAGAGGCTGCCCTGAGGCCTCTGAGACTCTAAATCTGATGTCCAGGTTGGCTTTTGGTGACCTCACACCTCCCAGGGTAGAAAGGAAAAAGGGAATCGGACTTAGCATCAGAACGCTCTGCCTCCCTGCACCTGTTTTCTTGTCTGGCCAGTAGGAACAGTCCTTCTCTGGCCTGCTGAGAGCTGTAGGCCTCTAGCAGTGTGATGCAATGAAGGGTGACCATGGTGGAGGTGACAGGGACACTTGCACAGTTCTTACTGTGCTCCAGGCCCATGACACTTACTTACTTAACCCCTGAAACAACCCAGCGCTGCAGGGATTATTCTCACGCCGTTTTGTGTACATGTGGAAACTAAATGCAGAGAGATGGAGCAACTCGCCCAGGGCTACAGCAGGCCACAGAGCCAAGATTCGAATCCAGGCAGGCTGGCTCTGGAGCAGGACACGTAATACGTGCTCTGCCTGGCCCTGGGTACACCCTGCCACCTCTCTGTTGCTGACTTAGTGAGGCAGGGGTAATAACTGCCCTTTACAGAGTTGTGTCTGGTGTGCAAAGCAGGCGTGGCAGCAAGCAATCAGGTATGTGGGAGCCCCGGGGAGGCTCCAGGAACAGCCAGGAACGGGGGTAGGAGTGCAGGACACACCTCCCTCGCTCCTCCGCAGAGTCGGCGGGCTTCTTTTCGGAGATGACAGAGGATGAGCTGGTGGTGCTGCAGCAGATGTTCTTCGGTGTCATCATCTGTGCACTGGCCACGCTGGCTGCTAAGGGCGACCTGGTGTTCACCGCCATCTTCATCGGGGCCGTGGCGGCCATGACTGGCTACTGGTTGTCAGAGCGCAGTGACCGGGTGCTGGAGGGCTTCATCAAGGGTAGATAATCCCTGCCTCCACCTGCAGGACCGCCCCCCACCAGGCTGCCCTGAGGTCGGGCCTCTCTCCTGCAGGACAATCAGGGCAGCTCAAGTTGATTTTTGGAAGTGGGGGTAAGCACCCCTTACCCACCTCACGGAGTAGCCCTGGCACCCAGGCCTGGGCAGGTGAGGCTCCAGGGGTGAAGAAGTAGCCCTGATGGTGGATGCCATGAAATCTTTTCCTGGGGAGGGGGGGACTGGGCAGGCTGCCCACTGTGTGCGAACTTCAAAAAAGGAGTGTCTCCTTTAGTGGAGGCTGTGTGAGCTTTGGTCTCTGCCCTGGATGAGGGGGGTCCCCGCAGGGGTGGGGCACTCACAGCCCCCTCCTGCCAGCTGCATGCTGCCAGCTTCTGTGCTGTATTCACCCCACCCCCAACGGCCATCAGATTTATTTATTCATCTCAGGAAATAAAGGTCTTGGAAAATGGAGACGTTTCAGTCTTACCACCTGACTCCCTCCCAACACACAGCCTTGGAGGATGTTTTCTAATGGCCTGCGAAATTGAGAGTTGCCCTGATGCAGTAGACAGGGGACAAAGAAGAGGCTGGGCCCGGAAGTTGTGTTAGGGCAGGGCGGAAAGGGGAATCAGGCTTAGAGTGGAAATTTCTGGGTGCATTATTAGCTGTCATTTGCTGAAGGACCCCAGACAAATGACTTTCACCTCTGAATGTCCTCTTCTCGTGGGCACGATAACGCCTTCCGGTGAGGTGATGAATGTGAAGAGCGGAAGACAGCACAGGACAGACAGATGTGCAATAAAATATTGGTAGACATTTCCAGCAAAGCCTCCAAGCCTCCGGCAACCTTTCCTCTGGAAGCCCGCCCCTCCTCGGTACCTGTAGGATTTGGAATGACTGGGGCAGGACCTCCACTCTCTCCTCTGGTGGAGTACAGGGTCCTGGCATGGCTAGAGTGAGGTGTGAGCCAAGTCCTAAGGGTTTATTTCTTTGGCACAAAGAGGACAATCTGGACAAGCAGGCTTGTCTCTGCACCAGCAGTCTGGGGCACCAGGTCCCTGTTCCCTGTGCCCAAATCCATGCACATCCACCCTGTATTCCGCATAAGTCACGGCCTCTGTGCAAAATACCCGCTGAAAAAAATAGATATTTAAAAAGCAAAAAACGGGGGTGGGTAGGTACATGTCCGGCTGACCCCAGGCATCTGCAGTCAGGTGGAGACTGGGGAATGCCAATTCCTCAAACGCTCAGCTGTCCCGGCCAGCCCTGCCATGTGGGCATCGAAGGCAAGGTCCTGCTCCTGCGTCAGGAGCCTCAGAGCTCAATGGTATCGCTGGAGGCGCTGCGGGAGTCCCCAGACTTGCAGCGTGGCTGGGCATCTCCTTGGGGCTCCCCGGGCCGAGTGGGGGCAGAGGCTGGGGCTGGAGTCGGGGCAGGCAGTAGCTGCACGGTGCTGGGCAGCTCGTCTAGGGGCAGACTGTCCACCGACGACAGCCCGTGGCGCCACGGGTTCCAACTGATCTTGAGCGATCCCCTGGAGAAGCTGTCCAGGGAGCTGCCAGAAGCTGCTGCTGCCGCCCGGTCCACCTCGTCCACTACGTGCTGTGGGACCGGGCCGCGCACGCGCACGTCGCTAAGCGAGCGGCAGCGGCCGCGGAG